TCATCTATTTGTGATGAGTTTAATAAATGTTAGGTGGTGTTTGATTTAAGCAATGACTAACCATCAACAGTGTGGTCATTGCCCTTCCCTGCTGAAAGCAACTTCCTAGGAATATCAAAACGGGATCTCTTCAACTCTCAATGAAGTTCATGCAAGACAAATCATTCATCGTGGAGAAGTCTAGAAAACACAACATCAGGGGGGCTGTACATCTTAACAATAACAGAAAGACCAGAGTAAACATGAAATTACCTCCCAAAGTCACCCAAGGTATCAAACAGTTACTAGGTAGAGCCATTTCCAATATAAATACACAGATGTTTACCTGCTGAACCAAACGATAAGTGGTATCTGCTCTCTGGATTAAACTTTACACAACACACGTTAGCTTTAGCTTCCAAACATGCCACAGAGTGTTCCATGTCTGTTGACCATAACTTAACTGAGGAGAGAGTAAAAAGAAAACTTAAAAATAATGGGAAAACAGCAATGACTTGCACTGAAGCATAAAGTAAAGTATACAATTAGTCAAGTGCTCATTTATAATGCTGGAACTTGTTTCAGGTTCTGGAGCATCACTAGGAGCACTTCTGTTCTCCCCCAGTTGAAATGCAAACCATTCACAGGGTAATCCCGACTGCCCCGACAGATTTTAATTCACCAGAATACATTTCTACACCTGGGTGGAGGCAGGCACTATATGAGTAAACTGCCACACCCTAAGAAACAGCTCAATGACCCCAACCAGGCATCAAATGCAGAGCCCTCCATCTAGAGTCTGGCATGCTAACCTAAACCATTAGTCTGCCAGGTCTCCCACCATCATTCCAAGTATATTTTTGGATTTATTTTCTCCTCAGGTTATCGACAGATTGTCAAGCAGATAGATGACAAGAACAAAGAAACTCATCAGTGTCAGTGATGTACCATTGAATTCGTGGAGCTAATATTAAAACACAGACAAGCCGATGGACACCCTAAGTTATTTATTATAAGCACGATGAAAGATCTAAAGCTATCTAAAACCTCTACTGTGTACAGTACAGAGAATTTAGTGAATTGATACCTTACATGACCTTTAAGGTTGAAAAGCAACACATTAAATGTTTGATTACCCTTTGCATCATCAGATCCTGAAGCCAGAAGTTTAGGATCAACATGGTTAAAATCAACACTCCAGCACCTCTTCTCGTGTTCCTATTGGAGCAAAGGACATTTTACAACTTACAGTACTAAAGGATTTTGATTCTTATTTGTGGGCTAACACAACAACAAGATGAAGAGCAACATAATTAAGGGGAGAACACTTTTAGACTTTCAAGACTTAACCATTATGTAACTATTTGATGAAAGATCGGTTATCATCAAAATTGTCAAAATGTTGGGTTTTGAAAGTCTAGGAGCTAGGATAAGCAGAGAGCTACAAAGTTGCCTTTGATGAAACATGGCACTCCCTGGAAGAAAACGTTAACATATTTATTGCTTGGTGCTTTCTGTGGTTAAGAGGTGGCCATCGAACAGAGGTTTCTTTGGTGGCCAGGATAGGGAAACCTGGCCACTTTAAATAGATGGCCTCTACAAATATTCCTTAGCTTTTCCTAGCTACACTGGCTAGAAACATAGATAACAACAGAAACTTGAATAAACCCTGTGCATTTGTTGAGCCAAAAGTAGTTACTTAAGGTGATTCCTCAGAAATAAAAGTTGCCTTTTTTTAAACTTTCCCTGAATGTTCCCTACCAAGCACTGTTTCGAAAAATATAATACAAAGGATAGGTCACCATATATATATATACTTGCTAAAGAGATTTGATGGGCCAATCTTACCCCATTTATGCCTAACCATGCACATCATTTCATTGTGGTAGCTGGAAGCAAAGGTTCTTTTTTTTTTTTTTAATTAAAGCAATACTTTAAAAAATCTTGTTAGGCAGAAAGTCTCGGATGTATGGAACAATGTACATGTAATGTATAATTTTATGGAAAAATCACACAATTCTAAATAACACTGACTCAAAACGTCGCTCAAATCGTTGTTTTTGAGGTCATAATTCGACACCTCCTTGAGTAACGGTTTTGTGCACTCTTTTAGCTATGTCTTTTTCCTTCCAAAACTTTTTTCTTAATTTTTTAACTTGAGCATAATTTGTACCCCAAAATTATGCAATAAAAAATATAGGTCATGATGCTTGTTTAAGAGAAAAGAGCATTTATTTCACTGTCGAGCTTAGCTCGAGGGAAATAATTCACATTATGTACATGCACACGCTCATGTGCGTGTGCTAATGACGTGAAAATTGTGCGCACTAGGGATGGGCAATGCAATACTGAGAAATCACCTTAAATCTACACAGCCTTCTAGATAGAAGTTTACCTGAAATGATCTAGTTTTGGATCCTGTGAAAGCATCCCACAGAGTAACCGTGCCTTCATAATCACTACTGGCAAGTAAGCCTTTGTGATAAGAACTCCAACAAATAGAACTGCCACAAGAGAAACAAACGAATATTTATATTCAATGCATGAATTGATACATGGTAATCACATTGAACAGTGGAGAAAGTTTTGTTTCTGATTTTGCTGCCTCGTTGTTTGATCATTTTTCTCCCTTTAATAAAATATTTACAAACTTGATTTTGCTTTACACACTCAGACATTACTTAGTACAATGAGTGACATCTGCACTTTCAATATATTCATCTCACCTGATTTTGGAATTGCAGATCATTTCATTGACAGGGCAATGAATGTCAACTACATCTCTAATCACTGTCCCATATTCAAAAACCTGACAGACCAGTAAAAGATGGACAGTTTCAGACATATGTATCTTTACAAACAAGTGAACTATACACTATACACATAGTTTTTACATCTTGCAGTTAAAATGACATTTGTGGATTAAATAGCACCAGTGACAATTAAAGTTTTACATTTGATTTCCAAGAAATAGTTTGTCATAAACTTGTCAAAAACATGTCCAACACAGCAAAGTGAAACCATCTAAATTGGCCCTGAAATTGTAACTGTTGTGTGAAATACCTTGATTTTCTTTGTAACTCCAGCAATTGCAAAGTAGTCAAAATCACGGTCAAATTCAATACTGTGTAGAAAGAGAAAACAAACTCTGAACATGAGTACACCTGTCTTATTAGATATTTTAGTCTACTGTACAACAGTAGACTTAAAGGTTAAGCATGACATTCACAGCAAATGGCAAAACTGAAACTTTTGCCAACTGTTTTAAGCTGTTGTACAGTCTACCTCTCTGTTAGATCATAATATAAAAAGAAAACAGCCAAAAAAGTAAGGAGACAATATTGCAACAAAGCTTCAGCTGACCTTGATACAATACTAGAGCTACTGTAGATGTCACTGGCATAACTAAGTGTTGCTAAGCAACGGAAGCCACTGAACTTTGTAAACTTGGCAAGACTGTCGGTGAAATAATCCAAGGCATCTGATGTTCCAGCATCACCTGCAAATATTTAAACATTCATAAAGACAAATCAGTACTTAGCCACGTGCACAGATTTTTGAATCAGTAACTTTTGAGCAAAGAGTGCAAGTCAGCCCAGCTAAAAAAACAATAATTATATCGCAGACAGTAGCTTTTAAACTTCCTTCGTTGTCAAAACGTCAGTCACCAACACTATCCTTTCCACCCTCGTGTGCTCAATCACAAGGTGGATGGGTCAAGGACACTCGGGTTAGAATCACTCACTCAGTATGTTACATCCATAAACAGTTTGTTACAGGTGAATGTTGAGCCACATTGTATTCCAAGATTGTTGGCCAGAAAGAAACTCTCTTTGGAAAATTCAACTAAAGTAAGCTAATTACCCATTGAAGCATTGAACAAGAAGTAATTTTAACAGCAGGAGGGGAAAATGCCCAGTGAGTGTACATACTCAGTCTGGCCTTTCAGTCAATGATCTAAAAGCATAATTAAATTTGTATTAACTGCTTGTCAGTAATCTAGATCAAAACAATCAATAGGCAGCAGTGATTTTAAACAGGGAATAACCATTTCTTACTTGGTAGGTCTCCCTGTCGAATGGAGAAGTAGCATCTCTCAAGATCATCAAAGTGTTGGTGAATTCTCTTTCTTCTTGATGCTAGACTAGTGCTACACCACAGATGTTTTGCTCCCTACAAAAAAGAACAGCATACCAAAGCTTTGCTTTATGCATATGCTACTCAGTAGTCCTTTCATATTTTTGGTCTGATTATATTCCTGTCACCACTTTGAAATTTAAATTTCACTTTTCTCTCTGAATGTGGGCTTGAGCACACTTGGAATCTTAGAATTCTAGCTGCTGCTCCACTGATTGTATGCAGCAATCTTGCCTAGAGCCATGCTGCACTCTAGGTGAACAAAACTTCATAATAACAATGAAATTTACGACCATAAAGGCCCCGATATGGAAAGATCATGAGCTGGTTCCCTGATTGGTACAGAATACTGCACTTTCATTGTCAATGAATAATAAATGCACTCTTTTTCTAATATGTTACTAGTAAGATATTATGAGGTAACATACATGTTGGCTTCCGTTGAACCCATCTTGAGCTGCTTCTGACTGGTCACATGACTCATCGTGACTGAAAATGGTAAGAAATTAATGCTCTTTCACAACTAAAAAATAATATGTACAAAGTTGCACTCTCAGAAATAAATCTGGTACAAACATACATGTAGTAGTGCAGTATAATTCAACACTAGTGCTATCAGCCTAGCTGATTCAGCTGAGCTCTGAATCCCAATATAAATAGTAAACTTAACTTAGGACTCAACTTCAACTAACAGCAGCTTCCCATAGGTTTGCTCTATTATACCACCTTATTTCTTTCCCTAATTATTATTTCTTTCCCTAATTTTCTCAGTCCCATGTGCAGAGGATTACAGGTCGGGAACAAAAAAAGACTACTCTAAGTCTAGCACCAAACAGAATTCCATAACAATTATGCTTAGATAATAACAAATAAACTGTTTTGTTTGTTATTTGTTTGCAATGTGACCTTGAGTTATCAGAATTAAACAAAATTATTAATAGATCAGTTTACATTTAAGCTTATCCATGTTAAACAGATCAGCCACTGGTTTGTACTAAACTAACAGCCTACTTGCTCTTGGTCTAAATTAACTTTAATTGATGGTTGGCTCATGACTTTGCTCCTTGCCAGCTTTTATAATAACAAGTCAACTGGTAAATAGAAACTTCAAATTTCAACTGTTAGTACCCACCTAGTGGAAGGTTCCATGTCAGAACCTACTGCTACTGGAGCATTTTTGGCTGTTGGAGTAGTTGGAACAGCATGATCCTGTAAGAAACAATTTCAAAGAAATTAAAATTACTAGTAAAAACATTGCCTCACTGACATCTATTTGACTATAGGTATAATGTACAACTTTACTTGCACCAAAAAAAGAAAAAGAAACCTACACCAGAGGGGTACAGAAAATTGATTATCAATACATACATGTAAAGTCATGTAAATTATGTTATACAGGTTCTATATCAACCTCTGGAATATTCTTTCTTCATTATTATTTATGTACATATACACGTACATGTTCAGTGTTAAGTCCAAACTACATGTTATTTTTTTTACACATACCACTTCACCAATCATGAGTCGTTCAGCACCAGGAAGAGTTAAAGGAGCTGGTATTGGATATTGCCGGTTATGACTTACAATCATTTCCTATAAGATGAAAATTAATGTTGAAAAAATTATCAGAAACTGATGGCATGCAATAAGAGGATTTCACCCAACAGTCTAGAGAATGGCTCTGTTCATATTGCAGCTACACTGTGATTCCATAAAAGGTTGGCAATAGCCCATTTCTGAGTTACCCTAAGCCTCTCTATCAAAGCGAGGCCTTGTNAAAAAACTATTAATAATTGTAAATTATGTATGCATCTACATGGAACATGGGAGGCACGGTGGCCTCATGGTTAGTGTGATTGAGTAGTCTGGGGTTATTTCCTGGCTGGGGACATTGTGTTGTGTTCTTAGACAAGACCCTTTACTCACAGTGCCTCTCTCCACCCAGGTGTATAACTGGGTACCAGCAAATTTAATGCTGGGGATAACCTTGAGATGGACTGGCATCCCATCTAGGGAAAGTAGAAATACTCCTAGTTGCTTCATGCCATAGAAGCTGGAATTTAAGCTCTGGCCTGATGGCGCACTTGGCTTGTATGCAGACTTTACTTTTTTATATGGAATGCAAGTAAGAATGCCAGTTCCGATCAAAGGGGTCTGTAAAGCTAGCATCAGAATTCTTACATTAACATGTCTAGTGTCTCATGTTTCTGTATCACAATTAAGTGGGAGACATGATATGCTGACATAAGGGTTACTGTGTTTGATTCTAGATCTAGATAGTAGTCCAAGTTCAAAGCAAGCTGCCAGTGCTCCCTGCATTTTGTGTTCTTGGGCAAGGCACTGTTCTATACTTGTAGTAATTCCCTGCACCCAGAAGTACAAATGGGTACCAATGATTTAATTGCTGGGAGTAATCTTGCAATAGACTAGCATTCCGTCTGGGAGAGGGCAGAAAGACTTCTTGTTTTATAACAGAAAGCACTGGCTTGATGTCATGGGTCACTAAACTCAAATACAGTTTTTACCTTTTCCTGTTAGGCTGTCACAACACATGGGTTATTGACGCCTCTGGCTGAGCCTGAGGCTGGTCACTATGGTAGCATACTGGCTAAATTCTGTTTCTGGATGAATTTTTCATGCGGCCAGTAGAAAGGCAAAAGAACGTCTACATCTCCTACAGGGCCCAAGTTAAAACTACTAACCATGGACCCAACCCCGAAAAGGTTAAATAATTAACATACAACTGGGTGGAAAGAAGTACTGGAAGAGTTACCACTGCAAACTTGTGTCTTGCCCAAAAACAAACCAAACAGTGCCTGGCCAGGACTCAAACCTTAACTAAATACTAAGTAGTGGACCTATCCAATGGTTAATATAAATTCAGGAAAATCTTGGTTCAATTCTCACAGTCAATGATGTTTTTCTGTGGAGATGGACTCCAAACTAAGCTTTTAGCAGAGTTCTGGCAGCCCAAAGGGACGCCAAGCGGAACCCCATACTCATATAGGAAAGAAAAGGAAACCCATGAGTTGATTTTCTCATGGTTATCATAGCTAGTGGTATTGCTCGTGGGCATGAGAGCATGACGACACATAGTCATACTCCAAATAATAGGTTGACAGAGACAAGCAGCCTTGGTTTACCGTGTACTTCTTTGATATTGGACATCCAGGTTATGATCAATTGACATCTGTCAAAACAAGGTATCCGCTGACCAGTATGTGACCATATCGCAGGCTCAAGTTTCCAGCTTATCGAGGTCACATTTTTTTTTTTTTTTAAGTTGACTGCTGACAAAGTGCTGGTTTTTGATTGGATCGCAGGCTGGTGTCAGGGTAACTTGTTGAAAACAGGGCAGGATTGTTCGGAAGCCAGTTAACGCTAACCCAGGATTAAAAGTTAACCGAATTATAACTTTTTCTTCTACTGACAAATGCTTTTTGCTGCTTTGTTTTGTTTATATGGTGATTATTAAAACAAAACAGAAGGCCACACAATATACAGAAAACCTCACCGCAAAGTTACAAAACTCAAATCAAAATTCTACCTTTTCCTGTTAGCTTAATCAGGCTCTGAACAACCTGGCCCAAGAGCTCTGCTTTTAGGCTGGCCTAAATCTATATATTAATCTTTACCTGGGTGTCTGGAACCATTTTATTTGTTTTCTTCTGGCCTGTCCTTTCTTTCACTTTTTGTACCAGTTCATTCACTGCCATAAAAATTAATAAAAAAAAACATGTAGAATTAAACGTTTGCTAGACAAGAGAAAATTAGTCTGTGAGGCTAGCATGTAGTCAGCAACTGGCTAGACAAGTGTCCTTTCAAATATATTTTATTTAAATAAGGTCTATGAAATTTTACTTTGTTGTTATCAAGTGAATGTCTAGCAATTCCTGAGGGCAAGGCACACTGTACTTCACCTGTAGTTATTATAAATTATCGGCCAGTTCCTCACCCGAGGGGGTCTCCCAAATACAAAGGACGGGGTTGCTCATTGTACCTTTTGGGGATTAAAAAAGTGGTTTTTGGTTCCTCTTATGGTGTTTAGCCTCAAAAGGTCCACAGCAGGAGCTTTTGCAGTACCTTTTGGGGTGTTGAGACAAAAACATACAGTGTTTCCACCAGAGCACGCCATTGCGGGAATCCC